GGAAAGTCCTTTAAATTATTTAAAAAAAAAAAAAAAAAAAAGAGAAAGCTTTACATGTCCCCTTATCAATAAGGGACGATTAAGTGCAACTTCTGCTGGTTACACTCCTAAATAACTGTTAAAGGAGAATGTTTCTGTTAAAACCAAGACAGAACTTAGCAAAACAGTATCTGAAAAACTTCTGATTAATTGAATAGATGAAGGAGCACAGAATCCAGGAAGTTCCTATACCACCGACAGCTGCCGCATTTCTCTCTAGCAAGGAAGTCCTAGTGTCAGAAGAGACAGAAAATCTTAAAAAGGAATATCTGGTGATACACAGACATGCAAATTTTGAAATACGGAGGATAATTCTCAGTGGTGAGACTGTAAGAAAGTGAAAGAAAGTGAATGGAAAAACAAGGCACAGAGGTTAAGCACCCTCCTCAAAGATGCACCACAAACACTCCACAAAGACAGTCTCAGTCTGCTCAGCTACGCTTCCTCCAGTTGCTCATGTGTTTCCTAATAAGAGATGCTTACTTTCTTTTAAAGTAACCCTAATACAGCTGATTTCAGAGCTCATTTTAAGTTTAGCTTTGGCACAGTCATGCAAATCCACAGAAATCCCCAGTCTATAACAAACATTCACAATGTCTCCGAGACAAGCTTAAGAAATGCACGCAACATAGCCCTCAAATACACCCCAAGAAATCTTCTTCTAAGAAAAATATATGGCACCAATAGCAGTTGCTGATAAAGTGCTTTATAATGCCTCTAAATGGAGGAGAAAAGCTGTAAACTGAGGGACACTTTTTAAAAAAATATATTCTTTGAAGTTTATCTTTGCACATGAAAAGAGATGCTCCATATCCTTTCTCCAGGATCCTTAAAACATATCCACTCATCCATTATTTTATCGCTTTAAAGACCCTACCAAAAAAAAAACAAAACCCAAAAAAAACCCCACACAAAAAAACCCCACAACAACCCACATACAGAATTTACCTTACATCACCCAGAAGCTTCATAATCTCATCTGACTTTTCTTCACTGAAAATACAAAACATATGATTGGAGCTTACGTAGCTTGTCTCAATACCAGAAAACAAAATAAAACAAAAAGATGTAAGATGACAATTTCTTACCTGAATATTTTTGCAGTAGTACTGTAACTGAAAAAAAAATTATTCTCAATAACAGTGAACAGACACCCAATGCAAAGCATCCATAGCGTATTAAAATGAATAACCAAAACAATTACAATGAATGACAAACTGTATCTCCTAAAGCTTGTTAGTATAATGCTTACTTTTTTGGTAGCGCTGGTAATTTAGGCAAAAGAAGATTTGATTCATCCTCAGCATTATAAAAGGAAGTGAGAACACTGAAAAAGAATTAAGACTGTGTTTGCCATCCAAGTTGTAATAATAGGAGGAAAAGAGAATTTCTTTCTAACTTCAAAGTTACTGCACATACTCAATACATGACATATATTAAAAGAGTTACAAATGTCAGAGGGCAACCCCTTATGGAGCCTTTAATAATTTATCAAATTAATAAAAGAAGTCTAATAATAATTTTTATTTCTACCAAATCCCTCATCATCTATAACACAGTTACTGACTGAGGCTGTTTAAACACTCTGCAACCCTGCAGTACAACCTGCCTACACCTCAAAGACAGCTTCACTCTAAAGACACATTACAGTGAGCAGAAGACTACAGTGGCCTGGGGTGGATCAGAAGGGGTGTGGTGAGTAGGTCGAGAGAGGTTCTTCTTCCCCTCTACTCTGCCCTGGTGAGACCGCATCTGGAATATTGTGTTCAGTTCTGGGCTCCTCAACTCAAGGAGGACAGGGAATTGCTTGAAAGAGTCCAGTGCAGAGCCACAAAGATGATCGAGGGAGTGGAGCATCTCCCTTATGAGGAGCGGCTGAGGGAGCTGGGTCTCTTTAGCTTGGAGAAGAGGAGACTGAGGGGTGACCTCATTCATGTTTATAAATTTGTAAAGGGCGAGTGTCAGGAGGAAGGAGCCAAGCTCTTTTCTCTCATGTCCAATGATAGAACAAGGGGCAATGGGTGCAAGCTGGAGCATAGGAGGTTCAATCTGAACATGAGGAAAAACTTTTTTACTGTGCGGGTGACAGAGCACTGGACCAGGCTGCCCAGAGAGGTTGTGGAGTCTCCTTCTCTGGAGACATTCAAGGCCAACCTGGACGCGTTCCTGTGTGACCTAGTCTAGGTGATCCTGCTCTGGCAGGGGGGTTGGACTGGATGATCTTTCGAGGTCCCTTCCAACTCCTGAGATTCTGTGATTCTGTGATGACTAAGACACCAACACTAAAACCAAGCGTATGAAAAAGGTCTATTCTAGCAAAAAGGAAATTTTTAGCCAAGTGGTAAAAAAAAGCCACAGTTACATATTATTATATTATTTTACATTCCTGTTTGTAACATACTAAGTATAAATGATTAGTAAGGTGGCATTCCATAGCCCATCATTTACTTCTAGAGTTCTTCGGACTCACCTGCTTTCCTCAGTTACTTCCATCCAGTGCATGTATGTAATAGATGAGTCCACAGAGAAGGAGTGCAAGCTTTCAGGTTTTTCTACATCACACAGAATAATCCGCTTGGTATCAGTAAGCCCAAAAGCCAAAACTAGAGAAAGAGGAGTAAAATGTATAAATAACCAATGTGCAAAACCTTGTACTTCATACTGAACTAGAAAATAACATATCTTCACAGACAACTACAGACAGAGTTTTCTTTTTGTCTATTTATAGTCCTTCCAAAGTCTCATTGAAATCTATCCATTAAAATGAAAGTCTGAATTCCTACCATAATTGAAGGGATAAATTTAAGTCAAAGGCATGATTTCACAATAACTCATCTACACGTTGAACTGAACACACTTCTAACAACAGTTCTGATAAAGCAGAGGCTACAGTTTTTGCACATTTGAGGCCAAAATTATATATAACAACTGTCCACCCAGAAGGTTTGGGTTTCATTACAGAAAAACACAATTTAAGACTTGCTGAGCAACTTTTGCATCACTGTCTTAACTCTATTAATCCACAGAAAAATACGGCAAGCAAAGGTTTCTATGCTTACTTCCTGCTAATCACAGACAACCAGCGTAAAAAGAAGTTTCTTAAACCCCTCTGACTCCATCATAAAATCACATAGGTATTTTTTACCCACACACCATGGAAGATTGATCCCTTTCTCCAGCCTCTAACAAGTCAAAAACCGAACTCATTTCCATCTCAAGTTTATCAAGCTACTAAATTCAATATTATTTCTGCTGAGAAGAAAAAGGCTTTTTTTTTTCTCTTCTCTGGTGTATTATTAGAGCAATTTCAGCCTGTGAAGCTCAGACTAAATGAGTTAAGTGCTTCAGTCAACATTGATCAGACAGGTTCTCTCTCTACTCACACAATAAATTTTGTTATTCATATAAAAATATTCTGTTTAGTTAGGAACTAGAAGTTTTGCTGTACCTTGAAAAGCAGTATCTTGGACATCAATCCACCTTGCAAAACTACCTGAAAATTACTTTCAACAGTGTAAATCTATTACTTTGAATAAACCTACACCAAGTTAAGCCACCCTTCTCTTTAAACACATTTAACTTGAAAGTTTCTGTCACAGATTAGAGGTCTCATCACCACCACTTTCACTGATTTCCAGTGGAATTTTTATTTGCACCATGTCACTTCATACACGTGACATTACTTTTGCCATCTGGTCTCCAAGCAAGGGCAGTCACTTCTTTTCCTGTATTTTCATTTGGAGGCAAACTCCACACTCGCTGAAAGTTTGCAAGCCGATGAAGTAAAACCTACAAAGCAAACACATCGAAGACAAAAATACACCATGTCCTCCCATCAATACCAGTTTGTAAATCAGTTCAAGATGCATCTTTTTTTACCAGTTTTTAATAACTCCTGTGTCTTTAATACCTGCTCCTCTAGTAGATGCCATTTTAGAGGACAGTATATGTTTACTGTACAGCAATAGAGAGAAATAAGCTCTGCCCTATGTAAGCCTAGAAGCCTGTGACCAACAGGGGTTACCCACACTTCATTCTCAAAGGGAGGGTATAATAAGTATTGGGAACTTGATTAAAAAGTATTCCTAAACGCTCGACCAAGCTTGCAAGCATCATGGCACAGATAACAGCAGAGGCATATCAGCGACTATACCGCAGAAGCAGCGTTTTCCTGCAAGCAGCAGCAGCTCTTCTGCCCTCAGACCTTTCAAGTGAGACCACAGAAGTTGCCTCCAACACGGCCCGTGGCTCCCCCTCCCCGGTACCGCCGGCTCGACAGCCCCCACACTCACCTCCCCCGCTCTGTTGGCCAGGGCGATGAGGTCCCTTTTGGGAGACCAGGCCATGAAGACGACCTCCTGGGGCAGCTGCTTCTCCCCCACCTGCCTGAAGGCGGGCATG